CTTGTATTTGTACTTTTTTTAGTTCTACAGGTACTCGTTAAGATGTGAGAACTGTATGATATCTTTTGGAACTTGTCTGTCATTTTAGTATGTTTCTGCAACATATGTTTCTTTTCTACGAATAAGTTATTCTAAATAAGTTGCCCCAAACAGTTTTATCACACATAGGCAGTAATGTTATTTAATCACCAATAAGCTAGTCTGAATAAGCTGGCCCAAACAGCAAGCCAGATTATTCTGATAATCTACAGATTATCAGATTATCAGAATAATCTGCTTATCAACAGATTATAAATAATCCACAGCTGCGCCAAACAGACCCTTAATCTCCATGGTAGTCAAAACAATAACAATACGGATAGAGCTTTAAGCTTATATAACGATGTGAATGTCCTCCTAAGATTAGACAAATCTCTTACCAAACCAAAAATTTTTTTTTTATTATTGCCACCTACATGATAATATTATCCAATTAAGCTTTTTGTGCCATTATATAAAGCAAATGAGAGGTGGAAGGATACCAACTCTAATACTAGGAGCACTAGTAGCACTAAAGATTCAAACCAAAAAAATCTACCGTACTAAATTATCCCAAGCTTAGTATCATGGTAGAATTATAAATAGATATTGCATATATTAAATATTAAATATAAATCATAATAAAATTCTATACAATACCCAAAACCCTAGCTAAGTTTATACCTTAAAGATTGAATGTGTTATGCTTTGCTACCATATCAACATGCCTCACCAATTCAAATTCCAAAAATTCAATAGCGATACAACAAAACGTATTGATTTTAGAAAACATGGAATTCTCATCCATGGCACTTCTATATCAACATCATAAGATGATATCCACAAGCATACAAAAGAGCAATATAAAACCCAACGCTCTCACAATTATATACACTGAAATAACATCAAACCATTACTTGTCCGTTTGGAGCTGCTTATTTGGTGTGGTGGTGTTTTGAAAACGCTCATGAATTGTTTGGGTAAACTGCGTTTTGGTACCTTATGTGTTTTGAAAATGCTGAAAATAGTTTTTTCACACCACACCTATCTAAGTGCAGTGGCAGCTTTCAGGCATTGGTCTGAATTTTTCAAAAAAATAAAAATTTCTAATGTCTACCGCACCTAACTTATCAACAGATTATTTTTTATAAGCTTATTAGCAAATTATTGAATAAGCTGCAGCTGTCCCAAACAGACCAATATCTAGTCATCTGAAAAGTAATGTAAACTACATAACATTATTAAATCTTACACATTGAAGCGGGATCAAAAAAATACTTACTATGAATCTAGTTAATCTGCATACGAGCAACTTTCTTACCTTTCAATGAGTACGTAATGATATATGAAAGGTATTACCCACTCAAGAAAGTGGTGAACTGGTTCAATTTTAAGATGATTTTGAAAAATCAATAAATTTTCTCATCTTTAAAATAACAAGAATTTAAAAGTAAAGCCCTTTTATTAAAAATAACAAACAGTAATTTTTCATATTAAGAAAATATTTTCTAGACTATTCAAAGGTCTTCTCACAACCCAAGATTTTGTATAAAAATATTTTTCAAATCTTTCAAAAACTTTTTCAAACCTCATATCACAAATAGTCACATTTCATAATAGAGTATTAAAAGGCTAGAGATAAAAGGGCTGAAAGTAAACAATTGGCAAACCGATGTGTATTGGTTTGGTCCCCAGTCGTCTACATGCAATCTCGGAGTTCTCCACTCATTATTTCCACTATACTCTTTGTCTGCTATTGCAAGGTGGAGAAGCCTATTTCCATCACAGGGTAATGAATAAATCATACACCAACGTCTACTCTAAGAAAAAGCCAACTACTCCTAACCCTAAAGGCTAGATACATAGGATTTTAACTGATATTTTGAGATCACAATCTCCCGTAAGAAACAAAGGCTCTCAATCAAAAGAAAGTTGGTCTTTGGTGTATCCTCGCACTTTCTCTTTCTAGAAAATCTCTTTAGAATTACAGATGGTGGCTTATGACTTCCCAACAAATTTTTCCTCTGTTCTATTTATCGGGGATTCAGTATAGATTTTTATTCCAAGTGAATTGTTCATTATACCAAAACATAAGGCCATTTTAACAACATAGAAAATTTTACTAGTTGATCGTACAGTACAATCAAGATCATGAAGTACACAATGAAAATTAAATCAGATTAACCATCCGAAATGTCATGTGATTTAATTGGATTTATTTAGGTATTTGATCCTATGCTACAATGCATATTATAACATATGATCAATTCAAATTTTAAATAGCTATAACTAAAACAATTTGATTATATTAAATTGATTTAGATAATCAAGCAGATTACATAGTATGATGTGCATCGTACAATACAATCAGCTCAAATTTGAAACCATGTAATTAATGCAAGTTGATTATGTTAATATTATGTTAAAGTAAAAAAAATTTAACAGTATGATAGATATCATACATCACAAAAATCAATGTATTATCAGATCAAATATTTCAGAAATTTTTGTTCAAGTTGACCGTATAGTGAGATCCATAATCACAAAATGCTACGAGTTAATATTAATTTTCAATATTTAATGCTAAAATTTACCTATGCTCAACTCTCTTGTGTATATGAGCATTTGACGATCATCTTGACAATCTCAACACCTGTAAAATATGATTATACATGACTTAAGAAAAAAACAAACACATTTTATATCTTTGAAGCACCAATCTCGAAATAAATCAAGGCTAGCTTGAGTTGCTACGAGGATGAGCTTCCTTTAAGTTGAGTACATGCTTTTGAGCACCCTATTTTTATTATTTGCTCTTATAACTTCTATTTAAAATCTTAACTCTCATAACCATATGAATTTTATTAAAATATTGTTCGCACATACCAAATCATGTTTATAAAAATAAATAAATAAAATACAAACTCAACCTGATGGGGTTAACAAAATACTCTATTTCAAAAACAATTACACATAACAGGGTGACGACTAACTTGGTAGATAACACTAAACTTTAAAAAAAAAACTAAGCGACTTTTTCGAACTTATAATTCAAATGCATATCACTTGAATTTTCACATCATTGACAATATCAACGAACATACATCAAAACACTATAAACCTTAACACTCTTGTAGTTATATTCACCAAAGAAAACCTAACTACTACGAATATTCATTTCAAAAGGGAATTTAAACTACAAATGATGCATTATATAATCTCATTCATTACACAATTATATGTGATCACCAAATACATGCGACTCATCTAGTTGACTTAACATCAGCAATTTTCTTATCCTTCAGAGATTACACAAGAAAACACCTTACTCAAAAAAATATAAAACATAATGAAGTGGCCACTAAACTCATTACATAATCCTAAACTTACAAATACAAATAAAAAGACTAAGTTAAGCATGCCAGATAATCGATTGATATATAAAATAATCATTATTCAAGCATAGATAATCATGAAGATCGACAATTAAACATATCATTCATAAAGCAATAGAAGTATGTCAGCGAGATTCAAGAGTCAATGATAATAATAATAATAATAATAATAATAATAATAATAATAATAATAATAGTAATAATAAAGGTTTGTTTGGGGTTGTGCCACCTTTTTAAAAAGGTAGTTGTAAAGTAATAGTGGAGAAAGCAACTTCTTGTAACACTGCGGCAAGACTTATAAATATACATATTTTTTTCAAAAAATTCAGACAGCAAGTTTCTTACAGCCACCACACTTTAATGGGTGAGGTTGAAAACAAGCAGCTTCCAACTCAAAATAGACCCTTAGTCATGCCAAACAATGTAATGCCAACAATTTTAGTATGCCATCATAATCAATGCACATAAAATGAAATGACCTCAATCTATGCATATACCCAATCAAAAGCCAATAATGAAGACTTGATCATCTCTTCGTGAACCCGGTGGTTCCAATATGAGCTATGCCCATCGGCCTGTACTTAGAACCCAAATTAATAATTAACATACAATTTATACACATAAAAAATGCAAATAAGAAATGATTCTCATGCATTTCATTATCGTTTCTTCATATCAATATTATATAAGGCAAAACATAACTGGAATTTAAGTTTGCTAAATCCTTCAAAACAGACATGAATACAAAGTGCATATACAATTAAATTTGGACTAACAAAACAATTCAAATGTGCTCTTATTCGTTGGTCTCAACTTCCCATTGCTCCATATACAACATTGTAGAAAATAATGTAAATCGAGTCAGTGTTATCTGAATATACACTAATACCTCATATTTCTTAGTTAATATTCTATCACACCAGAAGCGAAGAATTTGTATAAACCTTTTAAACCTACTTGCAAGCATATGTTAACCCATTCATTAATTATATATCTTGTATATAAAGATGAAGACATGTACCTAATTCCTGTCAAAATAAATTTGCTCATCCCTAAACTCACTCTACACCATAATCTTTCCAAAATTAAGAAATATTCGTATCATATAAGAAAAACAAAACAATAGACCCCAAAACATCCAGCCCTTCCATCCTATTCGGTTGAAAAAAATTTGCTTGATAAGGCATACTTGTCTAGTTTATGAATCTCCAGTGTTCTCAGAATCAGTTCTCCATATAAGGATTAATTTTATCATCACATAAAAGCATATATAATCATTAAAATGTCACTTTTGTAACTAATGCAGAATAGAGATTGAATGTGATGTGCATAAACAGACTCATGTACAAAAGAAATGCTAAATGCAAACAATACAAGTTCTATGCGTTCATTCCATTAGTCACAAGTATCACAATATAATGATTTTTTAGCCCATTCATTGAACATCCAGAAACTAAGTTAGAATATCTTAAACCTCTATTCAATGGTATAACCTTCATTCAAAGTTTTAAAAAACTAAGATATAATCTGTTTTCTCAAATGAATATTTTATATCAACAAGTTCAATAAAATATCAACACCGAAGCAGCCTATAATTGGAGCCAATTACCATAAAAACAATGGGAAATTTACAAGAGCATCGATAATAGTCATCAAAATCAACATCATCCGCAACGTAAACCTTCTAAATCCAACATAATTGGACTTCAATAAGACGTTCATCCTTTCCATCCAAAATCATGAGAAAGAACAAATTTAGACAAAAAGAAAAATATTGTCGGACTTGCCAACTAAACCCTAATGTATCTTCCTACGCGCCGGCGGCTTCTGCGTACACAATTTGAACAAAAAGTAAACCTATAACCAATGAAAACATCAATGATCGGTTTGCTCGTTATGATATATATAGATCGACAGAAAGAGAGAGAGAGAGGGAGAAAGAGGTCAGCTACCAGGGCGATAACGTGCACTGCCAAGAGCACCACTACGAATAGCAGCATCGATTCCAAGCCACTCGCTTCGCCACCCTCCATCGGCACCCAATCTCGTTCTTTGGCTGCAGATTGGATTTTAACTGAAGCAGGGTTATATAAATTTGAAAAAATATTACATTGATACTACGCAGGTAGATTAAGGTGTGTAGCCAATGAAATCACGCCACGACACCCCACGTGACAGATAAAAGAAAAAACGACGCAGTAACACAGAGAATATTTCTCATGTTATTCATGTGTTATTGTGTGTTATTCATGTGTTATTGTGTCCTGAGAATATTCTTGGTGTTATAATAACACAATAACACATTAATAACACATGAATAACACACAATAAAACATGAATAACACGGGGGAGAATATCCTCCCGTGTTACTGCGCCGTTTTTTTCTCTGTCGGGAATATTCTCTGTGTTATTCAGGTGTTATTGTGTGTTATTCATATGTTATTGTGTCCCGAAAATATTCTTGGTGTTATAATAACACAACAACATATCAATAATACATGAATAACACGCAATAACACATGAATAACACGCAATAGCACATGAATAACACGAGGGACAATATTTTCCTTGTTACTGCGCCGTTTTCTTTCTCTGTCGCGCGGGATGTTGTGGCGTGATTTCATTGACTACACAATTTACTTCTACATGCATAGTACTGATGTAATATTTTTTCTATAAATTTGGGCATTTGCAGACATCCGACATAGTATTTACGTATTCATATATAATATTTAAATTGTTAATTTTGTTGAATTAATCTCTACTTTTCATGGATAGATTAATAATATTAAAATGTTATAAGGGAGTGTGTGTGTGTGTGTGTGTGTGTCAAATTTTTGATATTTTTGTAAAATTTTGAGAAATTTTATACATCTTGCATTTTAGTGCATAAATATCAAGCAATTTTTTTATATTTACATAGCGAGCATTTAAATTTTAAATTTGATATTTATAACATTGAGTTGTTTCACATCATATTAAAAGTATCACGAGCATTAACATTGCAAATGAGAAATACATCTTTTCATTCATAAATAAAATAATATAAATATAAAAATAAAGTTTATAATTTAAATATGTAAATATGTAAAAATTGTGTGATATGTATGCAAATCTTCTTTAATTGTACAAGAGTAGTTTATATCATAGGTGTTAAATTTAATTTAAAATCAGGTAAACTATGGGGCTAATTTAAGAATTTATATGATTATGACATCTTACTTTATTTATTAAATATCTCAAATAATAATTACTTAATATTTTATAAAATTAGTTCACAAGTAAGAGTGGGGTAGCAAATTGAAAATCATAATATTGATAAATTTATCTAAAAAATCTTACAGAGTTATTATACATAAAGAGATCCAACGGTCCATAAATAAAGAGCACAACGATGACTAGCCTGCTGCTAGAAGGTCACGAGGCTTACCAAATCGACAGAGTGAATCCATACAAGCCAAGCCAATAAGACCAAAATCCGATCAGACCACAAGATGGACAAAAAGACAGTTGGATAATCCAAGCAATAGTCGTTCGGCAAGAAATGAGACAAAATAGCAGCCGGGTCACATGCTATAAAGAGAGTTGACCCAACACGATATCCTATCCTCCAGTAAATCTAATCCAATGGGAGATCCAGTTCCACAATTTTACCGACCATCATATTGATGTTGCAAAAACTTCTCATCAAGGATCAAGGATCAATGATTGACAGTCAAGCTAGATCAGTCACTCAACCCCTGCCGTCTAAACTCAACTGAGTGAGTTGATCATGTCAACCCAAAGCCAGCTAAGCCCAGTTTGCCGAGCGAAAAAGAAAGATGATAATCTCATACATTTAAAATATCAGAAATACACTTATACGTACCCCTTACAAACAGAGACAATAATATCATCATTTTACCATCTTCTATTTAAATAGGATAACTATTTTATGAATAAAACACGATGTTCATTTCTCTCTTTTACTTTTTCTCAATCTCTCTTTTTTTACACCTTATTCCTTCGACAGATTCACAGACAAATCAAGATTCAGTAGTAATTTTTGCTTATGCTATTATTGAGTACATACGTCATGTTATGTATGTAATTAAATTGTTCAATTTTAATTTATAGAAAAAAGTTCACACCAAAATCATCTCTTACCCTTATTATGTTGCTTAAACCTACATCTGGAGTCCAACAAAAACAATATAATGGAGTGTTTACATACGCACCATGCAAGTCCTATTTATTTACATATTTAATGCCAAAATTTTATTTTTGAAATTTATGTCACTCAAATGTTTTGTCACATAAGAAATAACATTATTTTAAGTTTTAAAAGGTGAAATACAATTTTTAATGCATAGATAAAATGACATATATTGTAAAAAATTAAAATTCAGGTGTTAGATACGTAAATATATAGAAATTGAGTGGTATTTTTGTAAATCTTCCTAATTCAACTAATATGGCTTCATGAGGGCTCCTTTCACCCCAAATAAATGGTAGATTTCCCCAAAATAAATGTGGGGAAAGAAAGATTGAGAACTATTCAACAAACGATAATATGAATGAGATAATAAAAATTGAGTCAATTTTGTCATAACTTTATAGTTTAAATGAGCAGAGGCTTCTTGAAAGAAATTCGAGTCAAATATTTAGATCTGTCATAATTGTTGTCGACCTCCTTTTTGCTTTGATCTTGCTTTTGTTTTTGTTTGTTTGATCATGTTTTATTTGTTTTGTTTTTTCTACTGTGTTGGTTTTCCTCCTTTTTATTGATTCTTGTGGTTCATTATCTGATATGATCCCTCTTTTTTTCTGTTGGCTCTATTTTCTCTGGTTGGTTTTTTCTTTTTTTCTTGAAGCATTTTTTTTAGTTCGGGCTGCCTCTCTTATTTGAATTTTCTTATTGGTTGGGAGTTCATTTTCTTCTGTTCTCTATTGTCTTGTGGGTTTCAATTTTGTAGTTTTCTCTGTTTTGAGCTGTATTTTTCTTGGTTTAAGCTTAAAAGTTTTCCATCCTTTAATTAAAATTCAACTATGCATTTGAATATTTACATTTCCATCTGATATTCATCATAGTAATTATTCTTTTAGGTAAGTGGATCTCACTTCTTATTTTTCTTCTATGTAGTTCCGATATGCTTCTAGTTGTATATATTTGATTGGTTTTGAATTTGTTGTGTTCCTTTTATTAATGTTTTGGTTAGTTCCTTAGCTTGGTTTCTTTTTGTTGTGTTTTTTTTTTATGGTTGTCTTATTTTTTGTGTTTGTTTTCTATTTTCTTTGGGTCTTGGGTTTTATTTTTAACATTTTTTTTTCCTTTTTCTATTGCATTTTTCTTATTTAGATATTGTTTGTGTTTTCATATTCTTTCAGTCATGAGTTTTTTTTGTGGTGTTTTTGTTTTTTCGCATTTTTTTTTGTTAGTTATTGTATTGATTTGTCGGATTCTTCCGATTGGTTCCGATCGTTCTTTATTTTTTGATTGTTTTTTGTTGAACTGTGATGTAGTACGTCTTTATTTTAACTCTAACCATTCTTTGATATTTTTTTTTTCTCGTCTATTTTATTAGATTCATTAACTTGGATGGAAGCTTTTTCAAGCGCTCAAGTAATTTATCTAAAAGTAGCTGGGTTTTGTGTTGACTAATTTTATGTTGTAATAGCTGCTTTAGTTTCTACTTCTTTATGTTAGATTGTTGTTTTAGCTTTCTATGTGCCGGGCTTTTAGTTTCTGTAATCATTCTTTAAACCATAATTTTCTTTCATTGAATCTAGATGGATACTCTAGGTTTATGATTTGGGTTTGGCTGAAAATTTATTGTTGCTTTGCCAAGTTGTAATATGGTTGTTGTTTGAATCTATGATGATCTTCTTTATTGGTAGTAATTGCTATTGCCTTTTAATACTCTCTTTCTTGATGTTGATTGCATATATTGTTGCTTGGAACTTTATTACTAGATTTGTTGTTGCAACAATTTAGATCTTTGTAACTCTTTCTTTACTTGGTGGTTCTTTCTAGACGTCTTAGAAGATGTTGCTGATTTTTGTTGATCTTAGTGGTGGCCGATTGTTTTATTAGTTTCTTTGGAGACTTTTTAAAATTGGCTGATTTTTATTGAATTTGGAGCTGATTTTTTTTATGTTGCGGGAATTGCTAATAGATTCTGAACATTGCTCTTGAATTGTTAATTACTACTTGCCTTTTTTTTTTTTTATTTGGTGTTGGTTTCATTTACATTGGTCTATTTTGCTGTGGTGTTGTGTCGTGTTGTAATTTGTTTATTGTACTCATTTATTTTTAATAAAGGTAGCTTTAACCCTCATTTAAAAAAAAAACAATGTTGCCTACGTTCTTTCATGAAATAACTACATGTTAGAAATTAGCGACATTTACATGCATAAAACCAACTTTAATAAGTTTACATATCTAATGCTTAATTTTATCTTTTATATTTATATCACTCAAATATGTTATATCACATAAAAAAAAAATCGATATTTTATCTTTTAAAATATTAAATACATTTATTCATGCATAATAAGTTGTTGCACGTGTAAAAATTGATGTTTAAGTTTTATATATCCAAAAACATAAGGATTGAATGGTATTTATGTAAATCATTGTATTTTCTGGGGGGCAGTTAGATACATAGCACTTGAAAGATTGCTATTTACAAAACTAGCATACATTTTCATCCATTTTTAAAATTCAGTAAAAAAAAAAATCATCATAAATTTATAACCCATTCCTTTTTTGTTACCTTTATCAAATTTCTAATGGCTGAGTGTGGCACATGCTTTGTTAGTTCAAAAAATTATCTTGGTGCTAATTTTATAAATAAAAAATATTTAAAAAAATTACATACATAAGGCATAACAACTTTGTATTTATATATTTGACACTAAAATTTCTATATTTACATATATAATATATTATTGCAAGAAAATTTTTATTTTATATTTTAAAAGTGATTAAGGTTTTGAAAATCGGACCGAAAATTGAATCGGAAGAAGGGAAGATTCAAGATTCAATGGTTGAACTGGGTTAAACTGGATGACATCATAAATATAACAAATATTAAACATGACTTAAATGACATAATAATGCCGTAGTATGTGCATATAAAAAATATATTATTAAATATAAATTGTATGTGAACTCAAACAACTCATTTAAATGACACTAAAAAGAAAGACTAGCAATCAAGTATTATAATACAAAAAAATATATCTTAAAAAATACTAAAAAAAAAAAAACTGGTACAACAATTAGATCGTCGATTCCAGTCTGTTCATTTTGATTCAATGTTAGGGAGGTTTTTAGGCATCCAGAACCGACCTCCAGTTGATTCACGGTTGAACCGACGAGTACGATCCACTTTTCTACACCATGAAAGATGAGATAAAAAAATTTGGTGTTAAATTAGTAAATATGAAAGTTTATGAGTGAAATGAATAAATAATAAAAATTCAATGCTATGTGAATAAATACCTCCCTATTTTAAATGCTAATAATTATCCATTTTTTTTATTTTCGTTGAAAGTCAAAACTCTTGGATCTCATTTATCCTTTGGACAAGATGATATACCCCCTCCGCCACGTCATCGGAGCCACTAAATTTCAGGCCACCATGCACCCTCAATAAAGGCAGGAGCCACGTTGTCTGAACTATGATGACTGCTCTGAAATTCTTGGTTAGTTTTTTTCTTCTGAATTCTCTGTAATTTCTCAGCCACTGGGCGAGCCACCAAAGACGGTGCTATTTTTTCCCTCTTTTCTTCCTTGCCTTTCTGTTTCGCTCTCCTCCTCCTCACGAAGTTAGGGTTTGTTGTCGCCGTTTTTTATTTGGTAGGATTTTTGGTGTTTGGATCGCTAGGTGGATGAGGATGCGAGCTTAGATCACTTCATCCCGTGGGTTTATTGTATTTTGATTGATTTGAAGTTGGAATTGGTTTGATTTTGTGGGTTTAAATGGGTTATTTGAGCTCGGGGACGGCTGATTCTAATATAATCCAGTCCTTTGATTATCCCGTCAGCGGTGGGGGACTCAGGTACGCTGCTTCTCAGATTGATTTTAATTTCCTTTAATTTATTTTTTGGAAGCAAGATTGTATATTCCGTGTTTAGATTGGGGTGGGAGTGAAAAAGTTTTGATGGAATATGTTTTACATGTTGAAATGGCGTGATTCTAATAGGATGACACTGATTACATTTGGGTTTCGCTTTTTATTTTTATTTTTTTTTCTTTTATGAAGCAATTTGTTGGGAATATTCTGTCATCCAAAATTTGAAGGGGTGGAATTGTTGTGGATGCGGATTTTGCATTGTTGCTAACGTCTTGATTTGCTTGACAGTCATAATGGGAAGTTTAGTTTCGGATATGCGAGCTATCGGGGAAAGCGGCCATCAATGGAGGATTTTTATGAGACCAGAATTGATGGGGTTGATGGTGAGATTGTTGGTCTATTCGGGGTTTTTGACGGTGAGTTATTATTGTTATTATTATGACATTTTGGTCTGGAATCTTCTTTTATTTGTTCTGGGACAGCACTCAATTTGTTGAAAGTCATCAACTTTCCGCTGGAATGTTCTCATTATATAAATTCCTTATTTCATGAGTTTCGCAATTTTGTGCTTTTTTTTTTTTTTTGACGGGTTTTCAGCAACTATGGATTTATTATTAAATTCCTGGAGCTGATGGTTTCTCTGTCTTACAAGTAGGTCATGGTGGTGCTAGAGCAGCTGAGTATGTGAAGCAGCACCTCTTCAGCAATTTGATCAAACACCCAAAGTTTAACACTGATATAAAGTCAGCCATAGGTTTGTTTTTTCCCTCTCTACTATTATCTTCGTCATCGTCATCCTTTTTTTTATGCTAAGTGAGATATAGGTTATTTTATTTTATTTTATTCTTACATATATATATATTCCGACACCTGAGTTTCTTGTCATGTTCATTGTTAATTGACTCAATATAATCATATTTCTACCTTAATACCCTTTAATGTTGTTTTGGAAAGAAGGGACTTAGAACCAGCCGGTGGGATTGTCATTCATGTTTTTCAGGAATTGCGGATTTTTAACCTCAGGATTGATTCCTTCTTTGTGGCAGTGACTATATGTGTAATCCTTAGGCTAGGGTTTGATGTATGCGATCAAAGTAGAAGTGATCCTGTTTTATGGAGTTTTTTATTGCTAACCACATACTTTCTTGACATCTGTGGTTATGGATCATTTGGGAAAACTTTTGTGCCAGATGATCCTTGTGCTATGAGATTTTTTGATTTCTTCTTCTTCTTATTTTTCTTCTTCATGCATGGCTCTACTTAATGATTTTGGAAAGGACTTGAGCGCTCTGTTCTGTACCCCTCGGTTATGGCTGTTGTTCTTTATCACAGGCTTGGTTGAGGCCAAACCTCATAACTCGTGGTTTCTCTTTGTGTTCACAAGTTTTTTTTTTAACTTTTATGTTTAATTTGGCCTCACAATCCTTATGATGTTATTGTCCTTTGGTGTTTATTTTCATTAAAATATATTCTATAGATTAATAGCCATAAATTTCAAGAACCAAAATTTGTAGAGTTTACTTCCAATTATCTAGTTGTATTCGGTGAATAAGGTTTTGGCAAATGTCTTGGAGAAGACGACTACAAAAGGAATATGAACTAGTTGGAGTCACTCTTCATGAGCAAAAGTTTCTCCTTCAAAGTCAGATTAAGTAGAGCCATGCGTTTATTTTCTATGCATGATGGTAAACCAACCAACTCACATTTGAAACAATTTAGTTTGATTATTTGTGATTTGAGAAATTTTAATGTTGTTGTGGATGATGGGATTGCGCTTTATTGTTATTTTATTCTTTGATCTTTTGTTACAAACAATTCTTTTTTATTATGTTGTATGACAAGTATACCATAAGTTTAGAGGATGTGAGTATGTATATTTTTTGGGTTAATGGTTGTGGTTTTTAAGTTCAAGGGTGTTGATGAAAAGTAGAATAAAGGATTGTTTGTGGTGGAGACATATATGACATATAATAAGTGTCTACCTCTAGAGCCAAATATATTGGTAGGCATAAAGCTTAATTTTTAAATATTCCTTTTACTAAGCATAATAGAAGCACCTCTCTTAATATCCATATTCTTAACTCGCTAGTTTTATCCTTTAGTATTCATAGTGTCAAGGTTTAAGATCAAATCAAATCCTATCACTTATCAATGTATAGAAATTTTTCTTAAAATATTCTCTTTCACATAGTAAGATAGAAGTAATTCCCTTACAAACCAACTTTTGGACTAGCTACTTTATCATTTTCATTATTCCTAATATTTACTTTTATAGATTAAACATTTCTTTCCTATTTTGGTCATCTTTGTGGTTGATTAAAATATAATTAAATGGCATATTTGTACAAAGTTGGAGAGAAATGAAGGCACTTTTTACTTATACTTAATTAACGCAGAAGTTTTCTTTGACAATTCCTATCAGTCTTCATTGTATAGTTGATTATGTAGATTGCCGATCTGATAAGTTCTTTCTTGCTGCAGCTGATGCCTACAATGATACCGACTCTGAATTTCTGAGATCTGAAAATGGTCAAAGCCGAGATACTGGGTCAACAGCTTCAACTGCCATTCTCGTTGGCGATCGACTTCTGATTGCCAATGTTGGAGATTCCAGAGCTGTCATTTGTAGAGGAGGAAATGGTGAGGTTTAGTTGAATCTCCTTTTGTTATTTCCTATTCCATTCTAAATAAGAAAAATTGCTTTTGATGTGCCATAATGACACTTGGATAAGCTATATTGCTTCTTGGATGAAATTTAAATTCCATGGAAATTTGTTGAACTCTTGTGGAGTGAATATTTTAATTTTTTTAAGATACAAGATACTACTGTCCATGTTGAAATCTAATTGCATTGATTAACCTATATATTTTTTTTCCCCTATATACAATTTATATACTCAAGTAAGGAGATAATAGTTAAACATTCCCTTGGAGGACTTCGTTAACACTTTTTGAGTGCATATGATGCCTTTCTTTTGCTTTTTAATTTTTTTCTCTCTGAAACACTGTTAATTCGTCTTTAACATGGCCCATTTTTTGGCTCAGTTGATATGCGTGTACCTTTTGAAGGGAATGTTCAACATAGACTTCATTATTAGTTTTAGGTTAGAAAATTGCATTGAATTCAATGTCAGACTTGTTTTCTTCTTTAAGTTGATTTAGCATATCATTCGGATCCTATCACAACTTAAGTGAAATCCTATGCGTTTATTACTTGAGGTAAAAAAATAATGTTGTAGCCTAATTCAAAGAGTTAGAAAATTTAAATGCTTGTAATAAACACAGCAGAATCACAAGCCTCTATTAGGTATGGCACATGGATTCTCATAACTGCAAGGAGGTCTTGTGATTAAAGATTGTAAGGAATATAGCGCCCACAAAAAAAATCAAAAGTCACGATTGATGGAATCAAACACATTAAGCCGTGCACGTGGGAATCATTGTCACAAAGAAATCATAAGATCCACTTAACTCAAAACAGAGACAACTCTTGCAACAACTTGCATTCTCTCTTCAATATGCCCAACTCGAGAAATTTGACTCCAAATAATTGTTCTTGTAGTTGATATAGATCAGGACATAGTTGTCGTAAAATCTGTGGATCAGCACTTCTTGACATGTATGCCTACTTTATTAGGTATTTTAGCTATCCATCATCCATTGCTCACAAGATTTATTTTCAATGATAGCTTTAATAATATGATTTGTATGAAAATTTGAGAATTATGTAAATGGACCTGAAGGAGATAAAAAAAAAAATTCTGGGCATTTATGGATGGTTCATGATAGAAATTCACATAATATACAATAGAGATAAACTAATATTGAAAATTCTTAAAATTTTAATTTATAATCATTCAATCCAATGCTTTGCATGATTTTATGTGGTCTTGCTTCTCTAGAAGGTTGTTTCTTAAAGGCTCATCTCTTAAATGTCTCAGTAAATTAATGAACTATTATTTTTTTCATCTGGTTTGAATATATCTAATTTACAACTTTGGTGGACTTAATAATTTTCATCATTAGAAGTGAGCTTTTTGTGAATACTTACGTGCAATTTATGTGCATGACTTATGAATAATGCACTATGATAGGATGCATGAATTACATTCTAAATTATTCAAATGCTTCATAATGAATAGTGATGACCACAATTTAATTAATTCTTAATGGCGGCGATGATGGAATTAAAAAATAAATAAAGTAAAACAAGCCCAAATATCATAAATATTGTTTATGATGAATTCTGCACTTTCAAAATTGACTTGCAAAATAGGGTTTTTAATTTTCAGTTTTGCTCACAGGAGTCATTTTTAATAATTTTTTTTAAATGTTGATGCAATTTAATTATTTAGACCAAGTTTTATTTTTAATTAATTTTTGAATCAAGAAATTAATACTCGGAAATAAATTAATTTGTATACTTGGTGACACAATCAATAAATAGTTCATCAGGAATTATGTTACCAAATTGCTGAATTGGTCAACCATAGTAGTCACTTTCACATTCATTAAATGATTAAATTGTTGATGCAATTTAATTACAGGAATTATGTTACCAAATTGCTGAATGACTAATCAGGAATAATTTAATGCATGATTTGTTCACTTTCACATTCAACATCATATTCATACTTTATTAGAAATTTAGATTTATAACTGATATCGTGCTCATTTTCTCTGTCAAAATCAAAATTTGGCTTTTATTCAAGTATTTATTTAGTTTAATGAACATGTTCTAAAAAAGGAGCATATTCATATCAACAAAAATAGATTTTGAATCATTTATTAACCATAGATCTTTATCGTCTAATTTATCATCAAGAGAATGTTCATTAATTACAATATCTTCAAAAGATCAAATTCCATCATGCATTTTGTTTGTGTTTGATTATTAGCTTAGGGGACATGCTAAGGACTTTTTTTAAAGATATTTGGCACATGTGTAGTAGATTCAATTGAGCACTTGTAAAATATTCAACTTTAAATACTTATAGAAGGCCTAAAATAATAAATAAAAGCTTTATAATTAGCAGAATATATATTAAGATATGAAATAAATTTGTCAGATTTGAATACAAAAGGATTCAAGATGAACTAAGTTTCAGCTTCACCTATAATATGCTTATCAATTTTAAAGTACCCACTGAACAGTATCAAATACAGTGCATATAAGGAAAAGTATGCTGCATACATATAAGTTTTGAAGGAGTCTTTACTTTTGTTATGCACGGAAGGACGGGTCAACTCTTCTGGATCTCCTAACAATGGAATAGGCTTGAATATCTTTGGTAATCTGACTCTAAATTTGACCTAACTGCGTAGCTATCTTTTATCAGAAAGACGCTGGCCAGAAATTGTTGCTTCGAAGAATACATTTAGCCATTCTGCTTGTGAATAATTTAATATTAAGTGGCATAATTAATAGTTTAGGGGCATCTGCAGTAATTATAAAGCTTCAGCTGAATAAAATCACAACTTGGGAGAGCTTACTATATTAAATTTGAATCCGTAGTGGCGGTGATCTTCAATCTCCGTAATGGTGTTACGATGTTTTGTTATATTACATCGCACAAAATGCGTATATGGATGGAGTTTTTGTAAGATTTTCCAAATGTTTATCATTTTCATAGTATTTATTTTAATTAAATTTTGATCACAATGAGAAATGTTGCTAATTTTACGACAATATTATATTAATCATGTAGAAAATTCCTTCTATATAACATCTTCAAAAGATGTGTTTGAATATTCTTAAAGGCAAATATTTGACAATCCATTTTTATAAGCTATGAGAATATTTTAAAAAGCTATCATAAATTTTTGAAGAGATCATTTATCGACTATGAAAATCTTGTGAGATCTATTATTGATTTTAAAAGATCTGCAGTATTGCTTTGGATCTTATAATAAATTTGAGGTCTTCAAAATATTCCTTGTTACCACTCTAAATGAAATCTTGAAGGAAGGATTTGGTGTCTCACAACCATATATAAATAGAGAGGAGAAAGAGAAATGGGAGAGAAGCTTCTAACTGAGGAAACAAAGAATTTTTTCTTTTAAGACTTGCAAGGGGGTCTTCTGTTTCCTTAAGAAAAAGAAAATGTTATTAGTTTCAATTTTATAAAATTGAGAATCTCTTAGCCATATCAAATAGATATTCTCATAGCAGGGAAAAGAAGAGAATAATTGTGAAATATTGTCTTCTTCTTCTTGTTTAACTCACATCTAGGTAACATGTGTCTACATTGTCTCAGTCATTGAAATCGAAAAAAATATCTCCATCTTTATTTCCAACTTTATATGAAGAGAAATTTTTGATATACTCTCTTGTAATGCTTAGTAGAATCATTTGATCTTTACGCAAGCATGGATGCTAGGAGATTTGACCAAATGAAACCTATTTGTTTTATGTTTGTTCTCTCATCTTTATTTGTTTTTGTTGGAAGGTTTATTATTATCCCAAAAACTATTATCTATGCTTTGTTTATAAAATTTTCAATTCTAACCTTGAAAGGCGAAAATATCAAAATCACCAGTTTCGATGGCCAGAACTTTGGGTTCTTCATGCATGCAAATAGAATACTTTGTACCAGAAAAAGCTTTATCAACCGCCCAACGTAGCCAAGCCAAATTCACTTGATTAGAAAGAGTGATAGTTGATGGATAGGCAAATTATAGGAGTCATTTGCCCATCTCTTTCCATGATGTTGCCTTCAACATTCTCATAAGACCACTACAATAGATGTCATGATAGTGCTCGTGGATGCAAATAGAATACTATGCACTAGAAAAGCTTTATCAACCACTGAGCCAAATTCACTTGATTAGAAAGAGTGATAGTTGATGTATAGACAAATTATAGGAGTCATTTGCCCATCTCTAACCATGATATTTCCTTCAACATTCTCATAAGACCACTACAATAGATGTCATGAAAGTGCTCTTTGATTTACTTGAAAAGCCCTTTGCAATTATCCACGTATATATAATGAGTAAGGTTTTCAACCTTAGCATATTAGAAAGAGTTCTGGTCATCAATCTCATTGAGTTCAATTCAATCATGATATAATTGAACGCCATGAATATGAAGTTTGATGAGAAGATTTCTGCCTTAAGCTTGCCCATCATCACCAAAAGGTTGGAAGGTGTTGGAACAACTGTTAGTAGTTTCTATGGATCTCTTACCATGAAGCTTAATAATTTAAGAAGTCTCCTCCTCGGTTAGGGCATTTGATGAAATGAGAAATGTAAAGCTATATCTTATATTTTAATTGTTGACAACATGAGAAAGTCCCAATATTAGGGCAATAATAAAGAAAGAGGCATATCAAAATTTCGCCGTTAAAACTGATAGTTATAACAGGAGGAAGTTTCAAGAACATATGAGTTGATGCTGTTAATATTGTAAGCCTGTCACATAATGAACGAGTGCAAAATGAAGAAAGGTAAACAAGGTTAAAAAGTCAAAGAAAAAGATAATTCTTGTTGCTATGAAATGCATTTATGTTGTACTGATACTCAGTGCTGCGGTCCACTAGCAATATGGATATTAAATTTATATCTGATGAAATGTTACTGTACAAGCAATTATAGCAAAATGCTTATTGGTGATGTTGGGTCTTTGAAATTTGAATGGCATTGGAGATATGGTAATCGTGACAACAAAAGAAGATACTTTGAAGCTGAATAAATCAGACACATTTTTGGCTCAAGGAAAAGTTTGGTCACCATCGAACTAGTAATTGTAGAAAATGTCATGCTACCATTAAAGTTGAAACTTGAAAATGAAAGGTTTAAAGTTTCTCCGTTTCATAAGGAAATTTTCAAATTTAAACTTTGTTGAATCTAGATTGTATGAATTTTTTACTTTAGGAAAATAGTGGCAGGCCGGTTTCTTAAATCTTTGGAGAGATTTAAAGGGCAAAAAGTTAAAGTGGGCGCACAAAGTCATTTTTGGAACACCTTTGTTCCTTATAAGATATTATGTCAACTACCAGGAAGGCATATATTTATTTTATTAAAAATAAATCTAATGTGTCCTTATTTTTGTGATGGTGAATAGCCAGGCGGGAATGGAAATTAAAGACAGATTAAGTGTTTGCGACCACTACTACGAGTCATCAAAATTTAATAACTATTGCAGAATTGATGGGATTTCTGTTTAATTCTATCACAACATAATAGCTATGATGATAAATAATAGTCTCAATGAATGTGTAAGAAATATTAGAATGCATATAAGTTTTCCCACTGGCATCTGGGAAAATGTAGTAAATATAACAAATATATTTGATCAATTAAAAACCAGCAGTAGAAGTAATTTTTGGGCTTTTTGAGAAAGTTTTGACAACCAATAAGGTATGTATGAACGGTTTTGTTTGCCTATCTTATGCTTATTTTCATCAGATTATTCGAAAAATCTTAAATCAAAATTCAGAAAGTATTACTTCATTAGATACAGTGATGATGAGTACTTAGCAAAAATATTATCTTTATTGAATTTGTATCATATAAACATAGGGCAAGCACTAATATAAACGATACTTAATTTGCACTAGAGGAGCCACCTTTTCCAAAGTGAAGACGATAAATACTATACAAATTTAAAGAGAAGCCGGGCCAACACACTTGTGAACCATAGTCGAAAAAGTTACGAAGAACTTACAAGCTGACTAATCATTATTTTTTCTCTCTTCATTACTTGTTCACAATGGCAAGAGTGCCTACGGGCTATGACTACACAGGCAAAGATTTTTATTAAGTGTGAACTTGTTAAGAAAGGAGATAATCTCTTTCTAAGAATATTACTTAAACACTGACCAAACTCATCAAAGCTAAGATTATAATGTAAATTGCAATAAGAACTTACATAAACCAAAAAGTATAAGAGCTGTTCTAAAGGGACTTCCATTTAAATAAGGGGTATAATTTATCGAGATGTTTTCACCTATTGTTAAAATAACCACTATTCATGTAGTTTTGAAGATCGAAGCAATAAGATACATATATTTGAACATATGGTCGTTTAGAGAACTTTAATTTATAGTGATAAAGAGGAGATATTTTTATGATTCAACTCGAATGCTTTGTTTAACCTAGAAATAAAATTTGTGTGCCAAATAAAAGCTTTTATGGCTTAAAAAGGTATTTTTTTTTACTATAAAATTTTTTTATGTGTTTTTCAATAGGATCAAATTTTTATTTAGAACATCAATCACAATTGTTATGCCAAAAGAATATGAATATATTACATTATCTTGTTGTTATGAAAACGAAAATGATTGACGATAAAACAAGAAATATAAACGGAAGAATTACATAGACACACAGATTTACATGGTTCGGCAAGTTGTCTATGTCCACGGGAGTTGCAAAGGATTTTATTTCTTGAAGAATCACACAGTACAAAATGACTTGCCGCGATTCCCTCTCTCTCTCTTTCTTCCTCTCTGTTTTCGCCTCCTGCCTTCTAAGCACTCGTGGCTGCAAGCCTTTTGCGAGTTTTGAGCGGAGGAGAAGACTTAAAGAGGAAGAGACCGCCAAAACCGAAAGCTTTTCACGATTTTTGTGTTTCGCGAAAATGGGAGGGCGAGGGACTTAGGAGGAGGAGATGCGACAAGTGTTTAATAACCAAAAAGAATAAAGGAAATAAAATTCAAAAAATTTTCATGTGTAGAAACCGCCAATTAAAGGAAGTGGACCGGTCTCAACAATACTCAACACTTGTTATCATATGTGAATGACATGTTAATTATAATGGATGATATAAAGAAAAATCAACAATCTAAATAGATAACTGTCAATGTAGTTTCATATGAAAGTTATAGAAGAAACCAAAGACATTCTCTAAATGAGAATAGATTACACTAAGAGCACACATGCATTAAGTTTGTTAACAAAGGTTTTAGATGTGTTCAACATTACAAAGTTGAAGGATGTCAGTTCTTCTCTTGCTGGCTACTTCAGATTGTCATAAACTACAGAGGATAATGTGCACATGAACAAAGTCTCTTATGTCTCAGCTATTAGATTTCTTATGTATGTAATGAGCTGGACAAACTTAGATATCGCACAAGTAATGGGAGTTATCAAGAGTATGTTTGATAGAAAATAATATTGAAGAACTTTGAAAAGGATACTATGCTATCTAAATATACAATCAATCTTTCTCTATAGTTAAAAAAGGCTGACTTGTAATTGCAAGGCAGTACTATTCAAAGTTAGGACAGGCCAAGCTACAAAGAGAAAGACCATTGAGTATAATTTTATAAATCAGATTTTAAAACTTTAAGGGCATTCGTACTATTATCTAAACCACAAAAGATTAGTATGTAGCTATCATTGAAGCCAAAGAGATGATGGTTCCAATTAAAACACACGCAACCTAAGTATCTCTACAGACGGGAGGTGCTCTACTTCTCATCAATATCAAGAGAGAAGAAATACCATTGACATGCTAAGAAAAGTTGTGTTTGTTGAAAAGCCAAGGCTTTGCAAAACTTCAATTAACTTTTGCAAACGATAATATCAAAAAATGATACTTCTTTAAGTTCATTTTTCTTTAGCCACATTGGATTTTCCTAGAAAATTTTTAGAAACTATAAAGGTAAATGGGCACATGATTGAAGTCTTCTTTGTCTTTGCTGTTAAATCTCTTATGTATGTATTAGTCTGTACCAGGATAGATATTTCACAACTTTTGGGATTTGTTAACAATGATGTTTGATTTAGAAAAATATTATTGAGAAGTTGTGAAGTGGATATTATATTATATAAAATGTTCACTCAAACATTCTCTAAAATTTAAAGAATTGCTTATAATTTCAGGTTTAAATTTTTTAAATTTGGAAGAGATCAAGATGCTAGGAAAAGTATCATCGAGTATATTTATATCTCAAGTGACCACTCAATTAGTTGAAATTCACTTCTTTAAAAGGTATTTCCGCTATGTAAATCAAGAAAGCTTAGTAGCTAGAATTTAAGCTAGTGAGAAGATACTTTTGTCAAAAGTTTCTTAGAAGAACTCAATTGAAGGATTACAAAAAGATACCTCACTCTTTTGTATGACAATTAAAACATTATTTGTTTGGCATAAAATGACACTTTTTAGTCTCGGTTAAACACATGCCACTTAAATATACTACCTACAAAGTTTGCTCGACAGAGCTTCAATACTCATCGAGATCAAAAAGGAAGGAAATACCATTGATATACTCATAAAAGTGGGGTTTGTTGAAAAGCAGAGGTTTTGAAAAACTTAAACTAACCTTTATGAATGATGGTATTGAGGTGCAACACATGATGATGTTTAGATGCTAGCCGCTTAGCAGGTACATCAGAGATGGTCTCTAATTGGGAGATTATTAATCATGTGAACCCAAAGTTTCTTTTAAATAAGATCTTCACAATATATTATACAATTTCTTTTTTAAATACCAATCTTCGATTAATCTAATTTTGTGATCCGTGAGATTATTTTGAAGATGTTGTATGTAAATATTTTGTAGAGATAAATTATTAAAGCAGAGAGATATTGTTAGATCTTATATTAACTTCGAAAGGTCTTGTAATATTTTGTGTGATCTTGTAATAAATTCAGCGTCTCCAAACTTAATCTGGCACTTGCAAGGAGTTCGTTTGCTTGTTTGAGAACATGTTATCCATCAAAAACAGAAAATTTGAATCATAGCAGGAGGAAGCATTCTTAGTAGAGAAGGCGAGAAAAATAACAGAGCAACTATGGTTTTTTTTTTCAAGTTAAACCTATTTTTGTAACATTTGAAAAAAATGGTGGGTGTGCTCCGGTGGTTATCGGGTAAAAAAAAAAAGCTTTTTTTGTAACAGTTAATTGCATTCCCTCTGTCACTGAGTGGTATCTCTATCCTTATTTTCAACTTCTTATGAAGATAGCTACTTGTGCTCCTATTTTTAAGATTAGTGAAATCATTTGATCTCTATACAGTCATGAACTTATGTAAATCTCATTGAATGACGTAAGCTTATTTATCTTGTGTTTATAATCTCAAACATAATTTTTCTCTCATTTTAGTTTGATTTTTTCTCAAAATTTTATTTCTGTCCTCACATATTACCATTTGTGACAGGGCAGAGAGCATTATTAGGGAGTGTGTGGTATCTGTGTGCCTGGCAATAGTTCTTGTTCCATGTTGATAACAACTATACAATTATTACAATTCTTTTGCTCACATTGGTCTCTTAATGATATACATTTTCTGTAAAAACACTCAGCCATTGCTGTTTCGAGAGATCACAAGCCCGATCAAACTGATGAACGACAGCGGATCGAAGATGCCGGCGGTTTTGTAATGTGGGCAGGTAATTGAACATGAAAAAACAATCTCATTTCTTATGAAATTTACTACTTTATGATTACATCTTATTAAGGTATTTAATGCTGCAGGTACATGGCGTGTCGGTGGTGTTCTGGCTGTTTCCCGTGCTTTTGGTGATCGCCTCTTAAAGCAGTATGTTGTTGCAGATCCAGAAATTCAGGTAACTGTCATCAAAATGTCTTTATGTCTATATTTAATGTGTTTATTGGATGATTTAACCATGATTAAATGGATGGGTATGCCTTTTTCTGGCCTTTTAGCTTCTAACTAGTAATGTTATACTTTATTAGCTGAAATATTGGAGGTAGTAGTTTGAATTTCTCCCCTGTTCTTTGATGTGAATCATCTATAACTCGATTATTACTGAACCACAGGAAGTGGAGGTTGATGGATCTCTTGAATTCCTCATCCTTGCAAGCGATGGACTTTGGGATGTAGTTTCCAATGAGGTACTTCACAAATTATTATTTATAAATCTCAGTTAGGATTATATTTAAGGGGCATTTACATGCCAATTATTATGTCTTTTCTTATTTAACTCCCAAACTTTGCTTTTTATTTACCACCCAAATACTTCATATCACATCAAAAATATCATTATTTTAACTTAAAAAAAGTAAAATACACCTTTTCTTGCAAAGGTAAGGTGACATATATATATATATATATATATATATATATATATATATGTTAAAAATGAAGTTCAGGTGTTAGTTATATATATGCAAAAGTACATAAGAATTGAATGGTATGTATGCAAATGTTCCTTTTATTTATCTCTGAAAACTCTCTTCATGTTACCGTTCCCTTGAAAACATTCCAGGAGGCTGTGACAATGGTGAAACCCATTGAAGATCCAGAAGAGGCCGCCAAGACACTGCTGCAGGAAGCCTCTCATAGAGGAAGTGCTGATAACATAACCTGCGTCATTGTTCGATTCCTTGGTTGCACAAACAATGAGAACACCGATAATCCACAAGAGCCGTAATCTTTTAGTCTTATAACTATATCTGCTCTTTGGTAATGTCTTAGCCTCTACCTGTAACTAATACAAGGACTTAAAAAAGAGATTTGGAATAAAAAAAGTTCATTGCTAAAGCTTTTCTCTTGTGTGAAGCGAAGGAATGTCAGAGAAGGCGTATTGCAGAGTTCATTGTAGGCTTCGAAGATTAATTTTTCTGTGGGAGATGATTTGTTCTTGTCTGTTACTAACTCAGGTGTGTATGTGGGAGGGTGTTGAAATCTTCTCGTCTGAATACTGTAAGTTTTTTAATGAGTTTATTTCTATGTAGATTCTTATCTGTTTTTTTTTTCCCCCTCTTTTCAAGGTATATTTTGTTGATAGTGTCTTTATACGAAACATGAAACTAACTTTATGGAAGTAGAACTTTGCTTAGTGGGGTTAGACTTGAGGGGTGTAATTGAGTCGAGCTGACTCGTGAGTAGTTCGTGAACAGGCTTGTTTAAAAATAATTAATATAAAATATACTAAAAAATAGAATTTGAGACTTCATTTTTAGATTATTAAAAATATTTTATGTTTTATTTAATTTTTTATTATTCATCTCTTAATTGTTTATTCTATTTACCGTTTTATTATAATATTAATTTGTATTAATATTTTTTTATCTTTTAAATAATGAGCCAGTTTGTACTCAGAATTAAATTCAGACTTAATTAATTAGTCAAGTCAAGTCAAGGGTGTCTTGAATTCAACTGGACTTTTACACCCTAAGGTTAGATGTTTTGTCTCCAATTATAAAATTTTGATTTTAATTATGAGTACAAATGGAGCTTGGCTGATATGTACTTTATGCAAAAGAAACCAAACCACTTGCAATTTATTTATTATTTACAGTTATATTAATGTTATACATGAAGAATTTTTATTACATTAGTTTTAAAATACATCTAATGATTTTTAAAGCTTTTTTTAATACAATCTGTATTATAGCAGCCTAATTAAATTGCTGGCTTCTTCCTTAGATTGACTCAAATGTCAGATTATTGTTGTGTGATAAGTTCCCACTCTCTTTTATCCATTCCATCCAAACTTTTTCAGCTTCTTTCTTAATCTAATCATTTTAAAGCTGTTAGGATGATTCTTTTTTTTCATTTTTTTTAAATTATGTTTATATTGTTTTTATATTTTTATAAGAAATGAAAGCATTTTTGATATATTGATTAGGTTATTTATTATTTTTATTATTAAATATTATAGAATTTATGTGTATGTTAAGTACACTATTCATGTTGCTTTCCGAATTATAATGTTATGGAGCACTAAGTTTCTCAGTAATTATATATTCCCTGCTAATACTTGGGTTCATGTTGGGTCCGCCAATTCTTTGATGTCACATGGTCCATGTTAATTGTGCAAATAAAACACTAACTTCTCACTTCCTTAATGGAGAACCCACATACCAATAAGGATGCTTGGTTAGAGAAGCAATAGAATGAAATAGACCCATTAATTAGAGGCTTTAATACACCCACCTTACTCTAATTGAACTCCAGATAACATCCATAAAATTCTCTAGATGGAGAACACACAACACTAACTAGACTCTTTTATTGGAGAGCATACAATACCAACTTAGCTTCTTAGTTGGAGACCACAAAACAAAACGCTCACTTATTTTTTAAACCCATATCATTAATGCTCCATAGTTAGAGATACACATCAACCAACTAAGCTTCTATTTGAAAAAAAAAAAAAAAAATCACAATTCTCACTTTCTACTTGAATACCTAATGACATAATTAAGGCCCCCTAATTAGAGAACAGATAATATTAACCGATCTGCAAATTCACTCAGCTTTGTCACATATTATAAACAATAATTACTAATATGGTTATATAAACAAAAAAGATTCATAATATATGCTCTCATTTTTCTCTCAAAATTTTAATAACATTCATGACATATTCGATCGGCTTATCAAACACATGGGTTCCTCCACTGTTTGAAATTACATTATCATATATTGTAAGTATGAAACAAACAATGCAATATTTGATTAAGTTAATAATTTATTCTTAGTAATTTTTATCCACTCAATATAACTCCCAAATTTAGTGACTCGAATCCCATTCTATGTAGTGTCTACCATTCAAATGATACTTGATTAACTGCTGGTAACCCTCAGTTTGATACTTTGCCAATGAATATTTACTCAACACTAAATCAACTACCAATAAATCTCTACTCTATCATTATACTCAATTAGTATATTGATTTCTCCTATTTACCCCATATTCTATCAAGTATCTTGACTACTTTATTCATCACCTGAGCTACCTGACAGGTTATCGATTACTTTGTTGATGCCCAAAATCATTCAACTCTCACATTTGTGTCTAATGAACCACCAAATAAATCTAAGTGATATGAGGGTGGCATATGCTGAGCCTATTACATCCCTCTTACATATTCTTTCCTCTATCATTCATATTATACTTAGTATCATTATCTTCAATTTCCTTGCACTCCCACCTCATTATTCATTATGAAGAGGGATCTTTATTTTCATTCATATTTTCTTGAAACATCTTTTATTCTTAACTCCATATAATATATAAAATATATCTTTAAAGTTATTCATTATTCTACAAAGAAAAACTCATATTAATTGTTGATTTTATCAAAATCGTCTTCACAAAACTTACAACCCTTTATCTACCTTGATTTCTTCTATGGCCAAGCCTTTTGAAATTTATGAAAATAGCTTTCATGATGATCATTTTTTAATGAGAACGAGGAAAGCACTATCTCATTTGTCTATATTGAAATAGTATATGATCAAAAATTTGAGAATCTTCTACCTGTTTTGTAGGTTCCAAAAGAAATTGCACTAGTTACTAGATAATAAGCACTTGTGTAAGAACAAATTCCAAGTTTGTTAGAGCTAATAACAAAAAAATATAGTTTTGATTACAAATTCTATCTAAAAAGTATTATTTAAATTGAGAATGATGAATCTATTCAAATTGACTATTTGCACTTTTTAATGATGGGGCATCAAGATTGCCAAGTTAGTAGCTAATCTTATTGCTCGCTAAAATTGTTGTTCCGTAATCTTCATAATGCTTGAAATCACCTATATATTAAAGGCCAGTTTTTAGACCTTCTATATGTTGTCATTCCTCTAGCCTTATATTCACCATCTCCAAATCCTATTTCACTCTTTAGGAGAGTACTTTTGAGTCCAAATGAATTAATATGAGACATGATGTCCTAAAATATTATATTTAATATTTTAAGTTTAGTTTAATGTGTGTACCCTTATGCCCATTTCATGTTATTGTAACATTTTTATTTTATTATGAAGTAAATATTCTAAAGTGCTTTATTTGCATTTTATTTTGTAGTGTGATAATATAAAATATTTTAAATGTAAATATGCTAGTAGAGTAAAGTATATCAAATTAGAAGAAGCTTATCAAGAATATCTTAAAATATATAATATTTAATTTAGTAAAAATTTTCTAATTTAGTTAATGTTATCAAGAAAAAGAACTACTCATGAATATTCAAAAATGGCACTTCAATCCATATTCACAATTCATAGTATTTCACTCTGAGAACATATACTTAGGTTTTTTTTTTAATTCTATTTAAAAGCTATTTACAAATAACACAAAATTTCAAGTTATATTAAGATAAATTACATCATTATTAGTAATAATCATAAAAAAATTGATAGTTGAACATCAATGTACTAAAAAATAATGGAGTATATTACAAGAGAGTAAACTTTAGCTATTGAAAAAAAAGAGCAAAGCTTTAGAAAAAAAATTTCTAAGCTCAACATGGATACCAATAAACATATAGAAAGAAGTGATAAGAGAAAATATATATATTTTTTTTTATGTGAAAACCTTAGAAAGAGGAAAAACAATGGTTCTTTGCCTTGTTAAAATAGTCTATTATATATTTGAAATTATAACTCAACTAGAGAACAAAAAAATTATAAAATTATGAGTACTTGATTATTCTTTTGTTATTATAATGGCAATTTTCGGATGATGCCATCAATTAGATGATGATAGTCAAACAAAAATAATTATAGTAATCAACTTATGATATCACTGGTGAAACTTGACGATGGTTTATGATTGTCATTGGTTTTGGACTCTCTTTAATGAGTTTAGAATTAGCTTTCAACTTTTAAATCTTCCTTCACGCTAATAATGACAATTTACTTACAATTTTATAGAATGTCATTTTGATAAATCCAGTCAGGAAAAAAAAAAAACAGGCGATCCATGTTTACTCTTTAGATTGTAGATTACACTGAAAACTTTGAAGGGTTTTGATGAAATCAAAATTGAGTAACCTTTGGTTTATTGATTTTTTATTATCAAGATGTTTGCTTTGACCGAAAACATGGCCATTTTGAAGATCATTTTATCCTTTAATTATCACTTTAAGTTTTAATTTGCATTATAAGTGCTTAATTTAAACTCATTTAAACTCGAATCAATTCAATGTAGGATTTTTTGTTTCATTTTATCAATATGTTTAGTTTGACTCTAAATTAAATTATTGAAATAGGAGCTTGGATTTCTATTGGTCGCTAGCTTTGAGTTCTCTGAAATCGGCTCTCCTCTCCCTATCATGTGAAGAGTGAGACTTTTTGTTCATAGTTTTTGAAAGTGATATTGTGATGAATTAAACCAAAATTCCAAAACACTTCATTAAATGGCTAGCATTGATTCCATTGATTGTCGATCATAATGCTTTAATGTTCTAAAACATGAGTGATCTTAGTCCCATTAGTTTACTATCATTGAGCTTTTTGATTTAACTATAAGCATGCCAAATATAGTGATTGTTCAATCTTTTAGTTAATGCTTTGAAACTTTTAATTATACCTTAAGTGCTTAGTTTGGGCTCATATTAAATTACTTTTAGATATGTAGATTTACCGAGACATTTAATTTAATTACTATAAATTTGAGCTGAGCCTTTTATATATATATATATATATATGCACATATATCTCTAAGAATTAAGTAACATTATTTATTGAAGCACCAACATGACTGATATTTGTGTCATCAACTCAAGTTCGAACTCGATCCAACCGCAGTTAAGTCCGCTCTATTGAGCCATAATGGGAAACCACAAAAAGTCATTAGGTTAAACTTCAATATGTGAACAAAATATGTTTAAGGAGACAATATTGAGTGTTGTGAGATTCTCGATGCATAATCCTTTCACTCTACCAAGATGAATCAGACATCCAAGAAATGGATATTGTGGATACGTGAAAACACCAAGACTTCTATGTTGAAATTACGTTTTGAAAGCCTTGATTGATGAGTGATAT